AAGACATTCTTCTCAGATCTAGAAACAAATGATGCTGAAATTCATATGGAGACACAGGAGACCTCGAATAGCGAAAGCAATCTTATACAACAAAAACAAAGCCAGAAGAATCACTAAACCAGATTTCAAAACATACTACAGGGCAGTAATAATCAGAACAGCCTGTTACTGGTACAAAAATAGATGGATAGACCAATGGAACAGAATAGAAAAACCCGAAATCAATCCAGACATCTACAACTAACTTATATTCGACCAATCTCTGGAGGATTGACAGTCTCTTCAAAAAATGGTGCTGGCAAAACTGGATTTCCACATGCAGAAGTATAAAGCAGGACCCCTACCTTTAATTTTACACAAAAATCCATTCAAAGTGGATTAAAGATCTAAATCTACAACCTGATACCATTAAATTATTAGAGAACATTGGGGAAACCCTGCAAGACACTGGCACAGGCAAAGAGTTAGAAATGTCCCCAGAGTCTCAGGCAGTCAAAGCCAAAATTAACAAATGGGATTACATCAAATTGAGAAGCTTCTGTATTACAAAAGAAACACTCAAGAAAGTGAAGAGGCAACCAACAGAATGGGAGAAATTATTTACAAACAATGCAACTGATAAAGAATTAATAACCAGAATATATAAAGAGATCAAGAAACTTCACAGCAACAAAACAAACAATCCAGTTAAGAAATGGGCCAAGGACTTAAACAGACATTTTTCAAAAGACCACTCCAACCATTTCTAGACATGCCCCATTGTCTCTTTTACATTACACAAGGATGACCACTTAAAGTACCTGCGAAGAAAGGTAGTCAATCATGTGCAGAAGCAAAAGTAATTCATAAAATGAATATAAACCAAAGTCAGATATATGGTGTTATTCATAAATTTGTATGTAGGTGACATATTAAGACAATAACTTGTATTAATGGGCAGTAGATGAAATAATCAAATTTCTTTTCAAGTTTTATATATTTGTTTGAAAGAGTTACAGAGAAAGAGGGAGAGACAGAGATAGAGAGAGATACATATCTACCATCCACTGATTCTCTTCCCAGTGTCCCCAGATGGCCGCAATGGCCAGGGCTGGGCCAGGCCAAAACTAGGAGACAGAGGCCCAAGTACTTGTACCATCTTCCACTGCTTTTCCCAGGCCATTAGCAGGGAGCTGGATTGGAAGTGGTGCAGCCGGCACACGCACCTGCGCCCACGTGGGATGTCAGCATCTCGAGTGGTGGCTGTACTCATTACACCACAACACCAGCCCCCAGTTCTTTAAGAGTCACCTGGCCGAGGTTGGGAAATTAGAACACACATCTGTTATCTCACAGTTCGCAAGTCAGAGTCCAGATTGCTTAGACACTGAATTCCTTTCCCTCTCACTGTCGTGTTAGTTTACTTTGTAGAAAAACTGAACCAGACAGCCTCCAGACTTGGAAAGCCCAGGTTCATGGAAATAAAGGGAAAAACATTATTCTGAAAACTGAAACCACTCATCCCCCATTAAGTTTCCAGAATGCCCACAGCCACATTTTTTAGGCAGGAGTGGACAGAATTCATCTATTGCTCCAAAAGAAGACATAGAAACCAACTATGAGGATTCCCCTAAAAGCAGTGGCTTAGTGTCCACAAACAGATTATGCAGGTCAATTGCCCATCCATGCTCAGAGCTTGCAGTCAGCTTTTGAGCATCTCACTCTTGACTGTGAGTGGAACCCTCACCACCAACCATTGTTTTGGTTCCTGAGTAAGTTCCACTTTTCAGGAGCAGGCCTGAGTCACTTAGAGCCCTGTCCTGTTTAGTAGGCCAAGTGTTTACCCTCCACCCACCACTGATCTCCAAAGCTGGCCAGCAACCCAGACATGTTCGTGGCGCTTGTTGATGTGAGCCACTTTGCAACATACCCTCTTCTCCCATTGCAGAAATTGCCATCTGCCATTCCCATCCCTAATCCACGAATTAGTTTAGTAGACAACATTCTCCCTTCTCTGTTTGCCAAAATTGGGATTATCATAATCCTTTTGAGAGTCAGTATACTTACATGAACTTCCTAGCAAACCTCAGTGGAAAATTAAATTCTGGCAACTTGCCACTCAGTTTGAAAAGCTGTCAACTCTCTTCTTTGGGATTGATAGATCTGTTTCTCGTGGTTTCCAAAAACTTGTGCTTCAGCTTCTTGTAGGAAAGCAAAAAGTTATTTTTGGTTCCTAAATCTCTGACTAGATTTCTCAGCATCTTTTAAAGTTACTGAATTCGGTTTGTAAGCTTTCAAACATTGAATAATACCTGAGGCAAGACTTAACATCTCATTACCCCTCAAAGCTTGGAAGCCTTTGAGTTCATTTAGAATCCACGGAAATACTTTAACAAAGTACTTTTGTCAAGAGAATAAAATGGTTGAAGAAATTAGTGAGTGGGATGGGGAGGTGAGGAGGAAGTTTAGGAACTAAAAAGCCAAGTTAAAAGAATTCACTATTATTTAAGTTCTTTTTTGCTTGAAGACCCACAGTAGAAATAGAAGCACATGAAAAGGTATCCTTCCTTACATTTAATAGGAGACATGCAAACGTAAAGCTGTAATGAGATGCCTATCACTATTAACACAGAATTTTTAAAAATTCTTTTACTTATTTGAGAGTCACAGAGAACGGTCCCATCACCTGTTCGCTTCCCAAATGTCTGCCCCTACAAAAGCCTGGTCTCCCACATAGGTGACAGGGACCCAGTTACTTGAGTTCTCGCTGCTGCCTCCCAAGGTCTGCATCAGTGAGAAGCTGGAATGAGGAGCCAGAGATGGGCATTGAACCCAGGCATTCTAATATGGGATGCTGGTGTCAACCTCTAGGCCAAACATGTGCCCCAGCAGAGAAATTTTTTTTTAATTGCCAGTGAAAGTGTGAGGAAACAGCAGTCTCCTGCCCTGCTGGACATGGTCACTGGTGCAGCCTAGTTTATCAAAAATCTGCCCACATTTAAAGCACCCAAGACCTCTGACCCAGCAATCCTACCTCTGGGGACTGATTTTACATATACTCAGTAGGTACAAGCTGTCACATATACTGATATCTATTGTAGCAATTTTTGTGATGATAGCAAAAGTTGGAAACAACTCAAGTGTCCATTTATCAGAGACTGGTTAGCTGTATGATCTATCCAAATAAAATAACATGGAACCATTAAAAATAATAGGGCCACTCTGTGCATCCTAGTATGGAAAGATCTCTGAGATATTTGTTTAGGTAAAAAGAACAAGAGGAAGATCAGTGTGACTGCAACATTATCATTCTTTTCCAAAAACAAAAGGTATCATGAGGAGTGCTAAAGATTAGTCTTTATGCTTCACTTTCATTTCCAAAAATAAAAATTATAATCAAGAATAAGTGCAAACTGGTAACAGATTGTTTTGGGGGTAATACTGTTCTGGAATTGGATAGTGGTAGTGGCTGCACAATCTTGTGAATATACTAAAATACACTGAATTGCAGACTTTGAATTGGGAGATTTTATGGTATGTTAATTATATGTCAATAAAAATATGAAAATAAATAAAAGTTTGCACCTGTGTGCAGAAAAAATAAACTTTTTTTAAAAATTATTTATTTGGTAGACATAGTGACAGAGAGAGTGGGAGAGCTCTTCCATCTGCTGGTTCACTCCTCAAATGCCCACAATAGCCAGAGGTGGGCCAGGCTAAAGCCAAGGGTCTGGAACTCCAGTGGTTCTTCTGCATTGACTGGCAGGGGTCCAAATACCTGAGGCATCATCTGCTGCCTTCCCAGGAGCATTAGCTTGGATCTGAAGCAGAGGAGCCAGGACTGGAACTGGCACTCTGATTTGGGAAGCTGGCATCCTAAGCGGCAGCTTAATCTACTGCACCACAATGCCCATTGCAAAATAAATTATTCCCAAGAGAATCTACCCCAGACAACAGCAGTAGTTTGGGAGAGGAGCAAAAGAGCTATGGAAATGGAAATGAAACTTACTCTTCACCCTATACACTGTTGTACGCTTCTTAAATTTGGAACCATGTGAAAATAACTACAAAATTAATAAGGTAGTTTATGGAAAGGAGATCTTATTATTAAATCTACCTTAATAACATAAAAGAAAAATTTTTAATTTTACCTATAATTGCACAATTACATTATGATTAGACTTGAATTTTATTGTCAAGCTACCAGATGAAGAAGTACTCAAAAATATGAAAAAATACATATTTAAACTAATTTTAAAAAAACTACAGTCAATGTAAATACCAGAGTAACTGGGCCATGCTAATTAGGAGGAGTTAATTGGGTAATTGCATTTCACCTACTTAAATTCCCCCATCACCTTTAATTAGAGTAACTTGCCTCTTTCCTTCCAGTCCCTAAACCATTGTGCAGTTTAATAGTGTTGTGTAATAAGGTTCTAAATCCTACATCAAGAGTGGCTTTATTTCAGTGGAAGATTCCATAAACTCTGCATCGGCTGATACAAATGGGAATAACCTTGAGATTATAAAATATTTGATTGAACCTGGTGAAGTAAAATGAGAATCCCTTTACCCAAATGGGCTTGTAACTGACTAAAGAGATTTGGAGAAACTTGATGGAGGTAAAAACACAGTGAGAGACTTTCCGCACAGCTTGGCAGGCAGTGTCCTTATGGCTGTCACTTGTGCACAAATTTGATCATCTCTTATTCCTTCTCTCACTCCTTTGCTCCCCTAAGTCAAAATTGGTCCAAAAGATATTGAATGACTCTTGGTTTTCTCAGAAAAATAAACCTTCAGAAAACTAACTTGGAACACACAAGTATTTTCCACATAACAGACAGCAGTGTAAAGGGAGACCACTCCATTTCCTAACTTTAGTGTTGGCACAGTGAATAGAATTGTACTTTACATTTTCTCTTAGTGCTCTTGCAAGGAGCTCTGTGAAGAAGCAATAGAGAAGCAATAGAGAAACTCTTATGTGAGAGAGAGGATACCTATTTAACATGTAATTGTTTTAGATACATAACCAAAGAAGATGTTGCCATAGCCTCGATGGACAAGGTGAAGAATGAAGGGGGCCATGTCCGGCTGATCACAAAGGAATCCAGGCCATGGGATCGTTCCACAAAGTAAGGACACAGTGTGCTAAGACTGCTTCTTTAAATTTATGTATTAATTGTAATAATACCTCACATTTGTGTGGCTGCTTTACGAATTACCGAGAGCTTTCACAATATAGTAGCTCCTTAGTCCTACCAACTCTGCAAGGCACATACATGATCTCCTCATCTTAAAAATTAGAGATGAGAAAGGACCCTGAGACCCTCATTTTTAGTTTTAATTACCTGTAGGACACAATTCTTAGCTATCTTGTGTTCTTACTCCTATAAGCACTGTCAGCCACTTTACTGTCATTTTATGGCTGCAAGAGTCTGCTTCTGTTAAGCTATCAGGGTCCAGAAGAGAGAACTCATAATGCTTTCTCTGGCCTAAAGAGGTGTATGACCCGACATAGTTAGAGAACAGGGTAGCATTTAGCTTTAGTTGTGGTTTTATTTATTTATTTTCATTTTATTTGAAAGGCAGGGAGACAGATGGAGAGAGATCTTTCATCTGCTGATTCTCTTCCCAGATGTCCACAACAGCCAGGGCTGGGCCAGGCCAAAGCCAGGATCCTAGAACTCATTCAGGGTCTCCCACATGGCAGCAGGGGCCCAAGTCCTTGAGCCATTACCTGCTGCCTCCAACAGTGCACATTAGTGGGAATCTAGACTGGAAGCTGAGAAGCTGGGACTCAAAATAGGCACTTCGATATGGGGCGTGGGCATCCCAAGCAGCAACTTAATCCCTCTGCCAAACGCCTCCCCTAGTTGGAGTTTTATATTAGCCTCAAGAAGATTTTCTAATTTCTCCAGATGTTTCAAAGTCTGATTATTCAACATAAAGGCTTGTAAATTCCTAAGAGAGGTGGCATATTTGTATTCAAATAAATTTTCTTAACACCTCACTCCTTCACTTGGCATGGAATATAGAGTGCTAACTATAGCCATTTTATTTCCACACTGAATCACAAAATCTATAGGTCCTTTGTTTACTGTTTCTCAATAGAGAAACTTTGAAGACATTTATAGGAAGCAATGACTATTTAGACTAATTGTTCATTAGTTACCTATTCAATGTTTTGTTCCATTATAGAAATTTTTTCGAAGATGGAGCCTGTGTCCCATATCTAAATCCCTGCACCGCCCAAGCTGATCTCACTGCGAAGCCTTCTTCATCCAAAGGCTATTTGCAAGCTGTGGATAATGAAGGAAATCCACTTTGCCTCCGCTGTCAGCATCCCACTTGCCACACTAAGCCAGAGTGTAAAGCAAACGCTTGGGATTCACGGTTTTGCTCTCTGAAATGTCAGGAAGAGTTTTGGATTCGATCTAATAACAGTTACCTGAGAGCCAAAGTATTTGAAACTGAACATGGTGTGTGTCAGCTGTGTCATGTGAACGCACAAGAACTCTTTTTACGTCTGAGAGATGCTCCTAAAAGTCAGAGGAAGAATCTCCTGGATTCTACCTGGACTTCAAAGCTCCCGTTAGAACAGGTAACTTACAGTTGTGTGTCAGAAGGCAGCACTGTACTCAGTAGTGAATACTGGCTCATTAATTTGATTTTTTAAGTTTTTAGTATTGGAATTTTCAAATACAAATGAAAAATAGAATAATGAACCCATATACTTAACACTCAGCTTAACAATATCAGCATTTCATCACTTGCTTTCATCAGTCCCTTGTCTCACTTGTTTTTTTCTCCTGGCATATGTTAAAGGCAATTTCACACAACATTTCATTTCACCCTTACTTTCACTATGCATTTCACGCAGGTAAAGACTTCCTTCCTTTTTCCCATCCGCTTCCCCTCCCTCTCTCCTTCATTTCCTCCCTTCTTCCCTCCCTTCCTTTTTTCCTTCATTCCTCCCTTTCTTCTCTACTTCTTTCTTTTAAATATAATTCTAACATGTTATCACATTCAACACAATTACAATTTCTTAATTACAGTAAGTCCATTTTGAATTTTAGATTTTCTCATACATGTCCTCTTACAGTTAGTTTGTTCAAATTAGGCTGAAAATATGACCCACATATTGTATTTGGTCATTGTGCTTCTTATGCTCCACTTATTTATTTATTTTTAAAGATTTATTTATTTACTTAAAAGTCAGAGTTACACAGAGAGAAGGAGAGGCAGAGAGAGAGGTCTTCCATCAACTGGTTCACTCCACAGTTGGCTGCAATAGCTGGAGCTGCACCGATCCAAAGCCAGGAGCCAGGAGATTCTTCTGGGTCTCCCACGAGGGTGCAGGGACCCAAGGACTTAGGCCATCTTCTACTGCTTCCCCAGGCCATAGCAGAGAGTTGGATCAGAAGTGGAGCAGCCAGGACTGGAACCAGCACCCATATGGGATGCCGGCACTTCAGGCAGCAGCTTTACTCACTACGCCACAGCACCAGCCCCTGTGCTCCATTTATATACCATAGCATCTCATCCCTGTTTTTCTTTCTTAAGATTTATTCATTTATTTGAAAGGCAGAGTTATAGAGTGGCAGAGACACAGAGAGAGAGAGAGAGAGAGAGAGGTCTTCCATCTGCTAGTTCACTCCCCAAATGGGTACAACAGCCAGAACTGGGCCAATCCGAAGCCAGGAGCTAGGAGCTTCTTTTGGGTCTCCCACACAGGTTCAGGGGCCCAAGGACTTGGGCCATCTTCTCCTGCTTTCCCAGGCCATAGCAGAGAGCTGGATCAGAAGTGGAGCAACCCAGACTGGGGGAACCGTCACTCATATGGGATGCTGGCACTGCAGGTGGCAGCTTTACTCACTACGCCACAGTGTCAGCCCCTCATCCCTATTTTTACACCACTGATTCTTGAAGGAACTGGATCGCTTGCCTGTAGGATTTCTTACCACACTCTGCCCACTGAAATATCTATAAATTTCTGCCAGTTAGATAAATTATGTATTTTTATTTACCTAGTATTGCTAAATTTTAAAGAATTTATAGCCGGCGCCGTGGCTCAATAGGCTAATCCTCCACCTTGCGGCGCCGGCACACCGGGTTCTAGTCCCGGTCGGGGCGCCGGATTCTGTCCCGGTTGCCCCTCTTCCAGGCCAGCTCTCTGCTATGGCCAGGGAGTGCAGTGGAGGATGGCCCAGGTGCTTGGGCCCTGCACCCCATGGGAGACCAGGAAAAGCACCTGGCTCCTGGCTCCTGCCAGGATCAGCGCGGTGCGCCGGCTGCAGCGGCGGCCATTGGAGGGTGAACCAACGGCAAAGGAAGACCTTTCTCTCTGTCTCTCTCACTGTCCACTCTGCCTGTCAAAAAAAAAAAAAAAAAAAAAAAGAATTTATAGCATTTCTGCAAAGATAAATTCACATGCTTTTGAAAGCCTGAGAAATTCACTGTTTCCCTATTGATATCCAGAGCTCCTAAAAGATCTTTTGATCTAATCAGTGAGGGACGTATACATCCCAGTGTTGTTAACCAGATTCCAGTTACTGTCTGCCACCATAGTGTGGACGCTTTCAGAAGACACACAATGAAATGGCTACAGCTCATACCGAGAGCCACCTGCGCAGGAATGCAAAAGTAACATGGTATAGACACTCAAAACTGCAGAGCTCAGAGGAAGAGTGATTTTTTCATGGCATGAATTTAGGGTGTTAGAGAATGGCCCAAAGTGAGTTGCCATACAGTTGCTAGGAAAAAATAAACACTATTTGGATCACTGAGCCCATCGAAGTGGAGAGAGAGAATCAATTACAAAGGCAGACCCACCATGGATTATTCCCTAACAATATGCCATTTGTTTATGGCACCAGACTGCCATTTTTTGTTGCTTCTTACAGTGTCAACTTTGAAATTAAAAAATCAGCATGTATCTTCTAACGGAAGCTGGGAAGTTCAGTACAGAAGAGTAAGGAAGGTAGTCAGGAATACAAGACAAAGGTCAGGCTCCAACTTGACGCCTCTCAGAGCTCCTCGCAGACCAGCGCCTTCGATCAGGTCCTGTACCGTCCAAATGGCTGACAAGGTTTCTTCAGAGTTATTTAGAAATACCCATGGGGCCTCACGGCCAAGAGCCATGACGTTGATTATAGTTTGTTCCTTGTCCAAAGCCAAGAAAATATAAACAAGTGTCACGCTCATCTTTGTGATAAACAAGTACACTGCCATAGTGTGAATTTCTTTTACTCCCTCAGGCAGAATGTTGAAACACATCCTATTTTAGGGTAGGTCATCGTTGGTTAAATATGTGTCCATATGGACTGGCCTAAACACTGGCTACTTTAAGTGGACATCTTTGTTTATTCCAAATATGCAAGTTTCAGTGGGTTGTTCTAGAAATTTCACTACAGTCTATGTGACTTGAAAAGTTCTCTAATGAATAGAATAAGAGTTCTGGGTGATAGCTATTAATATGAAACTGTTGTTGGTATAGTAAAAATGCATTTAGGTCAACAATGCAAGATTATTTGAGTCAGTAATATTAGGAGAAGCTTTAAATCTCCAGTCTCCTTATTCTTTCCTCAGTTTTGGCTTAGTGAACATAGAAATTAACGGAAAGATGCAGAAACAAACATTTTTTTTTATCAATCTGTCAAAGGTCTTGGTATTTTATACTTGCTTTTAAGTCTTTTAAAATGGGTTAGGTAAAGGGAAAAAAACTTTCAGAAACACATTTTATTGCTTTCAAATTGCTAACCTAGAGGGTTTTTTCCACTTGAAATAAAAGCTATAAAAAGCCATCCTAATGTATTTTTCCCCATGGTTTTGCTGTATAAACATCATTGTACAATACAAAACCAACAGTTCCTACAGTGCGTGTTGAAAATTGCTGATCCTCTGTTCTTATTGCAGCTAAATGAAATGATAAGGAACCCGGGGGAAGGACATTTCTGGCAGGTGGATCATATCAAGCCCGTGTACGGGGGCGGCGGACAGTGCTCACTGGACAACCTGCAGACCCTCTGCACGGTCTGTCACAAAGAGGTCAGTGCAGCTTGCAGACAGCCATGACTCCATGCTGAGATATCACATGGAAAATTGTGCATGCAGGTGTGCAAGGTTGTGTGGGTGAGGCAAGACCTCTGGTTTGGGATCCAGGATACGGTTGATTCCTTTCATTGCCCAACACTTGCCAGTCATCTCTAGGTGAGTTCTCAGTCACGAATGCAAGAGAAGCTGTGTCCCTTTTCATGCATTCTAGAATCAAGACATTTTCACCATGTAGAAAAAATGAATATAACTCCTGCATTGCACAGTCTTGAAAGACCCAGAGCCTCAAACGAGGTTTTGTGAATTGGGGCAGTGACACAGATTTTCATATTTGCATATGCTCAAGTCTGTCCTGAAATATCTAAGAACAGTGATAAATTATCTCAAGGACAAACTCGGCTCAACATGCAAAGATTGCACTGCTGGCCAAAGCATGAAAACTACTAACCCTGCACATCTCTGAGCAGTTACTGCTGTGTAAAATGAGAGAGAAAAAATGGCATAGTTTTGTTTATCTACTAGGATTAATTTTTGTAATGATAACAAGTGAGACATTTACTTTAAAAAAAAAAAAGATTTGTTTATTTGTTTGGAATACCCACTCTCCAGTCCAGGGAACCATCCTCTACAGGCCACCAACCTCGCCCCTGAAGGCCAGCGGCCTCAGGCCCCACAGGCTGGCCTCACCAAGCACACTGACTGGTGGTAGCCACACTCAAAAGTGGATGAATTTTTAGCAGGCACTACTGAAAAATGTAGCAGGACCTCCCTGCTTGGATACCTTTAAAAGAGACCTATTTTCTTTTTTTTTTTTTTTTTTTTTTTTTTTTTTTTTTGGACAGGCAGAGTGGATAGTGAGAGAGAGAAACAGAGAGAAAGGTCTTCCTTTTGCCATTGGTTCACCCTCCAATGGCCGCCACGGCTGGCGCACTGCGGCCGGTGTACCCCACTGATCCGAAGGCAGGAACCAGGTGCTTCTCCTGGTCTCCCATGGGGTGCAGGGCCCAAGCACTTGGGCCATCCTCCACTGCACTCCCTGGCCACAGCAGAGAGCTGGCCTGGAAGAGGGGCAACCGGGACAGAATCCGGCACCCCGACCGGAACTAGAACCTGGTGTGCCGGCGCCGCTAGGTGGAGGATTAGCCTATTGAGCCACGGCACCGGCCAAAAGAGACCGATTTTCAATGTGCAACATTATATCCAGAATTTTTCACTTTTGGCAAAATGCAAGCGTTTTCCCATGTCCTCCAGCCATTCATGATGTATATCCCCTAACATGGTTGCATAATATTCTCGTAAGTAGATCTCTGCCCCAGTTTACTAAGCCATTTTCATACTGAAGAATATTTAAGGTGTTTAATATTTTTTTTGCTCTTATATATAATGCCACTATGCATCATTTTTGTGAACAAAATTGTTTTCTACATTTTGAGGTTATTCCTTAAGATAGATTCTCAGATATAAAAAAAAAAAAAGGCAAGTCGAAATATTTGAATAGAGGCAGGCATTGTGGTGCTAAGCTAAGCTGCTTGGGATGCCTGCATCCCATATTGGAGTGCTGGTTCTAGTCCCAGCTTTCCCGTTTCCAATCTGGTTTCTTGCTGGTGTGCCTGTGAAGACAGTGAATAATGACCTAAGTACTTGAGTCCCTGCCAAACATGGAGGAGACCTGGATGGAGTTCCCAGTTCCTGGCTTTGGCCTGGTCTAGCCCTGGGTGTTATAGGCATTTGGGGCATGAACCATTGGATGGAATTCTCTCTGTCTCTTCCCTTTCTACATCACTTTGCATTTCAAATAATAAATAAATACATATTTTTTTTCCACATAGGCCTAGACAAATTTTAATTTTTTAAAGTCCACATTTTTTCATTGGAAAAAATTATTTATATTGTAGAATTTCTACAATCATGAGCAAGAATCAACATATAAGGCACTAGTTACAAAGAATCCTAATTGCTTAGTACATGGATGCTAGAATAATTTTTATTTTTTTTATTTTTTTTTAAACTTTTATTTAATGCATATAAATTTCCAAAGTACGACTTATGGATTACAATGGCTTCCCCCCCATACCGTAAATATGTATTTAAATAAATACATATTTTTTAAACTCAAATATATTGGAATTCATCTCCAAAGTGTTTCCCAAGGATCTTACTCATTTATACTTCCCAAATCCCAACAGTTAACACCCATAAAATTGCACCAGTGAGGGGCTGGCGTTATGATGTGGGTTAAGCTGCCATCTGTGATGCCACCATCTCATGTGAGCACGTTTGAATCTCAGCTGCTTCACTTCCTATGGAGCTCTCTACTAAAATACCTTGGAAAGCAGTGGAAGATGGCCCAAGAGTAGATGGCCCAAGATGGCAGAGAAAGAGAGAGGGAGAGGGAGAGAAAGAGAGAGAGAGGTCTTCTATCTTCTGGTTCACTCCCCAGTTGACCGCAATGGCCGGAGCTGCACCAATGAGAAGCCAGGAGCCAGGAGCTTCTTCTGGGTCTCCCACGAGGGTGCAGGGGCCCAAGCACTTGGGACATCTTCTACTGCTTTCTCAGGCCATCGCAAAGAGCTGGGTTAGAAGTGGAGTAGCCAGGACACAAACTGGTGCCTATATAGGATGCTGGCACTGTGGGCAGCAGCTTTACCCACTATACCACAGCACAGGCCCCAATAAATAAATCTTTAAAAAGTTAAATTTGCAGTTGGATAAGGAGAATCGTGGCCTCCTAGTCCACAAATTAGAGATGTGCAATCTCATTGGGTAACAAAACATCTCCCGTACTTGCATGCTTTCTCCTGGCCCTCATGCACTAGGACCACAGTGCACTTGTCCAAGCTGCTAAGGCACTCTGCCTTGTGGTTTGGGACCCCCCATGGCAAGAAATGGTGAGTGGATATAGTGACTATAGATTTTTTTTTCCATACTAACCAAGCATACGTTTATGGCTCCTGTAGTCAGTGCCTTTCCCACTGTGTATACATGCATATTTTTTACCTTTCAGAGAACTGCCAGACAAGCCAAGGAAAGAAGTCAGGTGAGAAGACAATCTCTGGCATCAAAGCATGGATCAGACATCACACGATTTTTGGTAAAGAAGTAGAACATTCTGTGAATGGATGACAAATGGTTTACGTGTGGGAGAATTGAACACAATTTTTTTTTTCATTTCTGCCTAAAATTTTTCAGAATGAAAATCAAGAATTCAGATTCTGGTTGTGTACTAAGTACTTTCAGTGTTAAATACTTTTTGAAAGTACTTAACAGAAGCTAAGTATTCCTGTAATCTTGTTGATTTCATGCACACTGCTAGCTATGTCTCACAAGCTTTTGTTAAGTTGTCATTTCCCCTGATATGTCTTAATCACTGTGTCACACATAGCAAATGTTTGAAAACTATGTCCTTAATTACCAGAAAAATGCTCTGGGCTAGTATCAGTTCTGGACTGTCATAGGTCTAACTGGGAGATTGTAAAAAAGAAAAACTTAGGGGGGTAAATTATCATTCAGGAGTTCTGAACCAAGCGTGAGCAGCCAGCTCAGTGTGTAAGAGTCTCAGTCACTGAACACCTCTAAAATGGGCTTGGGGCACGTTGTGGACATAGTCTGTGTATCAAAAAATTAAATAAATCATACTTTTGATAGTGAGACAACTGTACTGATCATGTTTGCAGGTAATCTGGAAGTTCTGAATAAAGTTATTAACTAAAAATATTAAACAACTGAAAATAAAAATGTAAAATGCCTCTTCAGCTTCATTTCTAAAGTTTTTTTTTTAATGCATAAAACTAGGCTTAGTGTCACAGCCACCTTTGTCTCCTGGGCCTCATTTCCTGTTTCTAAAATTTTGTGTGATTAAAAATATATTTATGGTACTTCTTTCAAAAAGGGCAGTGATGATAAAGCACTTGATAGTGACATTTAAAAAATAAGAGTGGTGATGAAACAAACCAAGGGGCCAGCCCAGCGATGTCGGAATCGAGAGAGCGAAGGGTCAGAGCCACGCGGAATCCAAGTCCACAGAAGCAGGATGGGCCCAGAAGGCAGCAGTATTTGGATGTAAACCTCATCAGTGGCCGCATTTCCTGATTGCAGTTAACAGCTGTTGTTTTACAATATAGAGAGTTTGTTTTTAGAAAGATTATACAATCGTGAAGTTTCCTTCCAGAGTTATGATTAAGTTCATAACTATTTCATTCTGTGAGATCAAATAGCATCCTTTCTCTCACGGATTAGGTCGGGCTGACTTGGCCTCCCTTCTGCTTTGCTGGTCAGGCTCTTTGCAGCTTTCTGCCTCATCTCCAGGGTAACATAGGATTTGTCACGGCTGAGAGCCGAGAAGCCTGCTAAGCTGCCTTTCCTGCAGCGTGGGGTGTTTGCAAGTGAGAATGCGGTCTAAGTAGGTCAGACTGGAGCAGGGCTTGCTCTTTAGATCACGCCGAGGTGGTAATTCTAAGGAACAGATTCTCAGATGTGAAGATCTGATGGTTTGAAGTGAAATGATCCATGAAGATAGTCTCTCTCCACGCCAGGTTTCAGAACACTGCGAAGAGCAGCGAGCCGTTGCCAGCCAGGGCTCGGTGGCTGCTCCTCCCCATCCCTTCCTGACGGGTCTCAGAGCTCTGTGGCATGCCTTCCTCTCATCTGATCCGCTTCACTTGTGGGACACATTGAGATGAAGCCCTGTGGGACTGAAAATAAAGACAGAGACTGATCCATCCAATGGCTGAGTCCTCTAGGGCACGGTGGGCAGGCTGCACTTTCATCCTCACATGAAAGAGAGGCTGCCCTCTACGGACTGCAGATGGGAGGCTCTGACGGGCAGGTGAAGCCGGGCAAGCAGCAGCCCCTGTGTGCAGAAAGCAGCCAGCGTGGCCCCCAGGGGAGCAGCCTGCTGGACCACCTAGGATGAAGGGACACACACAGGATACAGCAAGGGTAGAGAGGGGTGACTTAGAGGGAGGGGCCGGTTTGGAAGAGAAGTTACAAGATGGAGAAAAATCCTAGTTACAAGAAACTAGAAAAAGCCTAGTTACAAGATGAGAAAAGAAAAACAGGCTCTGGACCCAGGAAACAGAGCAAGGAAGGCAGAGCTGGGGAAGGAAGTGTTTTGCAATATGGAACTGTATAGGAATATACCTGTGCTGAGAACTGGGCTTTGCCTTCATCCAGCTGGGGGGGGGGGGGGCACTTCCTGCTCAGGTTGGGCTCGTGCACTGAAGCTGCAGCCCAGTGTCATGCAGGCCTGCCTTTCTGTTCCTGCCTTTGAGGGCCACTGATGCTAGACACCCTCTGATGGCTGAAAAAGTTGCTCTGGGAGCCCCAGAGCCAGGGAGAATTCATGTGGAATTGTTACAGAATCCCACGCTCAGCGTTAATCACAGCCTAACAAACATTTTAGGGGGTGATTTTCCTGTGACAAATGATTACCCTTCTAGATTTTCTTAACTGTGGATGGGAAAAGGATTTTCTACCCACGCATCATGCTAATAAATCAGATCTCCAGATCCTTGAATGAGACATTTAAAATGTATTTTCTTTTTAAAAGGCAGAGATACAGATAAGGAAAGAGAGAATCTTCCATCTGCTGGTTTGCTCCCTAAATGGCCACAATGGCCCCAGGGCTGGGCTAGGCTGAAGCCAGGAGCCAGGAGCCAGGAGCTTCTTCTGGGACTCCCATATGGGTGCAGTGACACAAGCACTTGGGTCATCTTCTGCTGCTTTCCCAGTCCATTAGCAGAGAGCTGGTTGGGAAGTAGGGCAGCTGAGACTCAAACGGGTGCCCATCTGGGATGCCAGCACTACACGAGGCTTTAACCTTCTATGACATAGTGCCAGCTTTAGAAATAAAAGTCTAGGAGCAGGCATTGTGGCACAGCAGGTTAATCCTCCACTTGGGACACCCACATCCCATATGGGAATACCTGGTTTGAGCCCTGGCTACTCCGCTTCTGATCCAGCTTCCTGTTAATGCACACTTTGGGAGGCAGCACATGATGGCTCAAATGCTTGGGCCCGTGTTACCCACATGGGAGACTTGGATATCAAGTTCTGGGCTCCTGGGTTCAGCTTGGCCCAGTCCATACTCTTGCAAGCATTTGGGAAATGAAGTGGTAAATGGAAGATCTCTGTCTTTGTCTCTCTGTGTTGCTCTGCCTTTCAAGTCAATGAAAATAAATAAAAAATAAATATTAAAAATATGAAACACTTTATATGTCAAAGAAGTCAACACTCTTGAATGTAAAATAGAAAGATTTTGTTTACTAGTATACAGAATCATGGATATCAAGCACAAAAAATAGGGTACAGAAATAATGTCTCATGTTCTGTTGCTTCTTGTTCATTCCCAGTCTCTCATTCCATCATTCTTTTGAACTGGAAAATTGAGCTCCTAGTTACTGTACCAATCTATTTGAATATTCAACCATCAGAAAAATGTCCCATCCCATCTCAAGTTTGTGTTCTGTTGTTAAGGGTATTTCGCCAGGCTGGTTGTGTTCCTTTGTACTATTGAGAAATGTCACTGGTACTAAAATGTATTCTGAGTTTAACTGCCTTCCTCGCTGCCTCAGCAGTTTCTCTCCCAGTTCTCTTAAGTCACTGGCTAGGGTCTTCCCAGTAGCAGATACTAATTATTTTCTGCAGACTAGCCAAGGGAATACCTTAAAAATATTAATTATTCCACATTTCTTAAAGTGTTCATGTTTCATGGTCTCTCTGCTAAGGTGTGTAGACCACTTCTGCCTTCCCTTCAACTACATTTAATCATTGGATTGCAAAACCTCCAGACACTTCATCTGTATGACAGCTGATGCCTACTTAAGAAAGATCCCAACATAGTTCTGATTTGGCCAGCAAAATGAGCTCAAGAAAGCACTGTTGGGGCTGTGCTGTGGCATAGCAGATAAAGCCGCCGCCTGCAGTGCTGGCATCCCATATGGATGCCGGTTCAAGTTCCAGCTGCTCCAATCCACCTCTCTGCTATGGCCTGGGAAAGCAGTGGAAGATGGCCCAAGTCCTTGAGCCCCTGCATCCACGTGGGAGACCCAGAAAAAGCTCCTGGCTTCGGATTGGCACAGCTCCTGATGTTGTGGCCAATTGGAGAGTGAACCAACAGATGGAAGACCTCTTTCTCTCTCTCGCTCTCTCTCTCTCTCTCTCTCTCTGCCTCTCCTTCTCTCTCTGTGTAACTCTTTCAAATAAATAAATAAATATTTACAAAAAAATGCTGTCATGGTACCTGAACCCAGCATGTGCTCAGCACGGGTTTACACACCAATGCTGTGAACACAGTCAGATCCTGGTTGGAACCCTGGATTGCAATGGTTCATTTTTAGAATCTCCTGTGTAATCCTGTAAAATATTTCACCTACTTTCTGCATAATCATCACTTACGAAACTATGACTTCACTTATGCCTGGGCTTTCAACAAATGAATTTTTTAAAGTTATATTTATTCATATTTAAAAAGCAGAATGACAGAAAAAGAGAAAGGGGGTGAGAGCGAACAAGAGAGAGTACTTCCATCTGTAGATTCACTCCCCAAGTGCCCGCAACAGCTGAGGCTGAGCCAGGTCAAAGCCAGTAGTCTGGAACACAACCTAGGTCTTCCACTTCTGTGTCAGGGACCCAAGTGCTTGAGCCATGACCTGCTGCCTCCCAGGGTGCACTTTAGCAGGAAGCTAGAATTGGAAGCAGAGCCTGGACTCAAACCCACACACTCTGATATGGGATATAGATGTTTTAACTGCTGTATCAAGTGCTTGCCCCAAACAGATATTTTTTTAAAGCATACATGAAGCATTGCTATGCTGTTCAAAAAATATTAGGAGGCTTGAATGACAGTTACTAATACTTCTGTCCCCACATCAAATTGAAAACCAATAAAGAAATATGACACTGGAGTCATAGGTGGAATTCAGAATGCCAATTTTGAGGTTAATAAAGTACAATTGGAGATCATTACATGGGTTGCAGCCATAATCAAGATCTTGGACCCTCATATCCAGGAGGGATGCTGGAGTGGCCCTGCTGCAGGAAAACTGGTGTATCACAGAGAATGAGCACACTTACCTCAACACCCAGCCCCAGTGCCACTTGACTTCACCTTGGCAACAGGGAGAGAAAGATCTCCAGGCCTGTTGTTTAGCACACACAAGTGATCTGTCCTGGGGGCTGGCATTGTGGCACAGTCAGCTAATTAAGCCACCCCTTGCAGTGCTGACATCCCATATGACCAATTGAAGTCCCAACTGCTCCACTTCCCACCCGGTTCCCTGCTAGCATACCTGGGAAAACAGCAGAAGATGGCCCAAGTCCTGGGCTTCTGCCACCCATGGATGGAGTTCAAGGTTATTGACATCAGCCTGGCCCAGCCCCTGCCATTGTGGCCATCTGGGGAATAAAACAGTGGATAGAAGATTCTGTCTCCACCTCTTCCTCTCTCTGACACTCTGCCTTTCAAGCCATCTTTCTTGTAACTCACATTGACAAACACTGTATTGCATAGAAGTGATGAAAGCAGGCATGTTATGTTCCTGATCTTAGAGGAAAATCATTCTTTCATCATTAAGTATGAAGTTAGCTCTGAGCTTTTCTTAGAGAGACCTTAATATGTTGCCTTCCATTGCCAGCTTACTTAGTGTTCTTATAAAAGGGTATTGAATTTTGTGAAATTCTTGCTCTGCATCAAATGATCGTATGGTTTTTGTATTCCATTCTGTTAATGTAGTGTATTGTAGTGTATTCTGATAATCAGTTTTTGTATGTTGAACCATCCTTGCATTCCAGGAATAAATCCCAATTTGTCATAGCATAAC